ATTCATAACATGAATAAAACATTCATCAATGAGCTTAATCTCCAATTAAAAAATGCAATTAAAATTTTTAAAATAAACTTCTGTATGAAAATCAAGAATTCATTTACTAAAAACTTTCTGATGTATCTTTCTGCTTTCGGTAAGATATGCAATTAAATATATCAAAATATGAATACATGTAATAGCCATAGCCATTGCAATTCGATCAATTCTATTATTATAGTTTGCCTGTCTGGATTCAATAACTTTTAAATAGGTATGGAATGTTTTGCACGCCATATTTAATGATTTCACTGCACTAAGAAGGATACCATTTGTATACATATACAGGCAAGAAAGCCATTATATTCTCCCTCACTTCGTTCGTCCGAATATAAATTAATTATACTCTTTATTCTGTATTGAAAGAATAATCAACTCATATGTATGGAATGCTGCTCGTCAGAACGTTTATTACAATTTTAACACATTTGTATTTATTTCAACACCCATTATTTTTAATCATAAAATAATATTGATATATACATACATATATGTGTGTGTGTGTGTGTGCCTAATTTACTGGTTTCCATTCCTTACAACGTTCTGTACGAGCGGTAGAATAACTTTTAAAGCACGCACCTGCTATTTATATGACCATATCACGTGACATAAAAACCACACAGATCCACCACTCTGTTCACACAGGAAATACCCATAACGACAATAATAATAATTATATTCTCCCTCACTTCGTTCGTCCGAATATAAATTAATTATACTCTTTATTCTGTATTGAAAGAATAATCAACTCATATGTATGGAATGCTGCTCGTCAGAACGTAGAACAATCAAAGAGAAAATTGTAAAAAATAATAATACCTGTCTACACACACACACTATATATGCATATATATTTATTAATATATATTCATTTATATTTACACGAAAAGACTATTAGACACTTTCAATTTGTTATCTATACAATCCTTAATATAATTGTCTCTGGAATAGTCAGATTTCCAACGTCCATGTATTTTGATCAGACGCTCCGACACATTTTTCTCGGCTGCAGTTGTTGCCCCTCCACTCCGCAGACTGTGCAAACCAAAACCTTTTGAATCTATTCCCACTTTTTCCAAAGCTTCTAACAATAACTCTCGGGCTCTTGTATATGAAATCGGCTTGTTAATACCGCACAACATATATTTTCCACATGACTTGTAAAATCTAATTGCTCTGAATACATATTCCTCTGGTTTATCCTGAATTTCAGCTAGATTTAAATAATGCTTAATCCAAGATACAGGACACAGCTTCCCTCCTGCCTCTGCCAATGTCACTTCGTTACCACGCCTGTAAACGTCAGTTTTGCTGGATTCGATGCAAACATTTATGTATAAATTCTTGAAAATTATATTTTTCACTTTAATATTAGATAATTCACTAAATCGCAAAAAACCTGCGAAACTCAACAACAACATAGCCACTGTTCTCACACTTCGTAAATCACAATTTTGCTCCCGTTCCCAATATACATTTATAATCTTCTCTAACAAATCTGGCGAAATTGGTTCCTTCTTATTTATGGACTTTGATAAAATTCGTTTCCCCCCCCCCCCTCCATTAAACTATGAATAACACTGTCGTCACAGGGATTAGAAAACGCACAATGAAGATCATGATACCACTTTATACTATAGAAAAATGAACACAGAACTGCTTCAGAAACTCTTTGTTGAATTAATCCACTAAGAAAATGGCAATCACACTAGATTTTGCGGGAAAACTTGCGACATCTTTGGAAATACACCACTGCGTAAATTTCTTGAAATACGTTTCATACTGCTTGACTGTGTTTTTACTTTTTGCACTTTTCATGATGTGGAATATTGAGGAATCTGCTGATTTAAACTGCTCTTTTGTTGACATGTCTTTAATTTCCGCCCAAGTATCATTAAAAATCTGTGAATAAACAGCAAAAATATAACAACACACTCACTTACATATTTAAACTGCTATTATTATATTTTTCTGAAATCAATTCTAACAACCAAAACGTTGCTCAAAAACATATCTTGAGCAAATATACTCGACTTGTCTGATCCTGACATAAAAAATTTTCTTGGGTTCTTATATTCAACATATTCTTTTATATAAGATTTGTAAGATGTTGTACTTTTATCCCATATCATTGGCCAAAATAAAGCAGACAACCATTTAGGAATGATTAAAGTTCCATATGCATAACACAAACGCAAATGTTTTATCACTTTGCCTATAAGGAAAGGAGGAGGTACTATCCAACAATTTTCACCTGACCAATCATAAGCGAAAGCGTCAACTCCTGTAGTGCCTGGATTCCAATATTTCGAATAAAACCTTTCAACTTTGTTATTCTTACAATTTGCAAAAAGATCAATTGTAAAAGGACCCCATATTCTATCAAAATATCGGAAAATGTGTTCAGACACACTCCAATCATCACTGTCAAATATGCGACTGTAACTATCTGCATCCATGTTGTATTCTCTTGGTATCCACTGTACTTCAAGTAAAATACTGTATTGCACACAGACACCAAATATACTCAATGCCAGCTGATGCAGCTCGTCAACCATATTACCTTTACATGATATGCGCACGACATTTTGATTATCTGTAAATATTTTCACAAACCTTCCACTCAACACATCTGCCAGACTTGTTAAAATTATTTGCACTGACTTTAATTCTCTCCAAGTTGAACTTTTACTTTTTTCACACTGATCCCACATGTAATGAACTATTTTCTTATTCCTTTCACATGTAAACCCTGCGCCTGCATGAGAACTTGCATCTGAAAAAATAATTTTCTCTGGTGTCTTATCAATACATGTAAAATATTTGCAAGGGAGCTTACTGATATTGTAATGCCAAAACTCCAACTCTTGAATATTCCCATTGTCTATATACAAAATTTCATCCCAGCCAGTTTTAGAGCAAATTGTAATACTGAGACGTCTAGTCATTAACTGACATATATTTCCCAAAGATGGTTTTAATGCGATAATTTTTCCCACAACAGAAGATAATTTTCTCGCCGAAATATTGTTTTTATTCTCTAAAAGTTCTTTTAATAAAGATTTAATATTACTAATTTTCTCCAAAGGAACTTCTAGCGTCCCGCTTTTCAAATTCCACAAAAACCCTAACCACACCATACTCTGAGTAGGCTCAAGTACTGACTTCTCAATGTTTATAACAAAACCTGATCTCTGTAACGTGTCTTGTATTATGTCTGATGCAGACTTGCACTTCTCGTACGTATCACAAACCCAACCATCGTCCAAGTATACTACCACAGGTATACCGCATGATCTCCAATATTTCACTAACTCTCACTACTTTTGTAAAAACATGCCCTGCTGAAGATAAACCAAAAGGTAACACATTAAATTCGAAAAATCTGAATTTGTCACCATATTTCCAAGAAAAACCTAAATATTTGTGAAAATCTGGATGTATATCAATATGGTGATAACCTGATTTTAAATCAAACTTAATCATGTGCATTCCCTGTTTTGCATATTGTAAAGCCTCACTCACCCCTTCAAACTTCACTTTTTGTTTTTCTACAAATTGATTTACATGTCGAAGATCTAACACCAACCTTTTCTTACCTGTGCTGTTCACTGAAACAGTAAGTGGATTAACAACATGTATTTTTTCTTCAGATATTTCGTGAATACAACCAGAATTTAAAAGATCATTGATGGCTGTACAAACAAAATCACTGTGAATATGAGCCGACTTATTATTTTTTAAAACGACCTTAGGCGGCAATTGAATAAATGGAATTACATAACCAAACTGAATAGTATTTTTGACAAAAATGTTTGAAGACAATTCACTCTTCCAAAATTGTAAACAATTTTTTAACCGAAACTTTACTGAAATCTTCGAACACGTGTTTAACTCATATTCATAAGAATCACTCATACAGCCTTCATTTTCGCTATACTCAACTTGTTCTCTACTACTGTTTGTTGGCGTTGTTGCTAGAGGCCGATGCGACCGTGGAAGCTGACACTGGAACTTGTTGTCCTCTGGCAAATGGGCAGTCCCTGACGTAATGTCCGACCTGTCTGCAGAAAAAGCACTTCCGTTCAAAGTTCTGTTGACCTGCGCCGTATTCGATTGGTTTGGCGAATTGCTTGTACCCCCCTGTAGCAAACGTTTGGCCGAAAGTGCGAAAAAAGTCGTTGGCAGCAAATGCATTCTGTCTACGGTTTTGCATGGGATATGTATATGGCTTCCCTCTGTAATTACGCTTACGAACAGCACGGCTAACAGCGCCCCGTAACTTAACAGCGTCGTCATTGTTGTCTGCTAATGGATCGTCTAAATATTCGTTGACAGTATCCCACCCGTGCCTGTCTGCTATTTTTAGAATCTTGTTTCGTTGTCGCAACTCGCCGATTTCTTTCTCAATTGTCAGTGCCGCATTCTCCAAATCTTTCTTCTCTATAAAGTTTTTTGTTTCAATCAACTTCTCTATTCTCTCTGTATTAAAGGTATGCTGAATGCGATGTCCCTCGTGTTTGAAATCGAATGAGTTATGTTTAGTATCCTCCCGTGCGCTATCCTCGTGCCCGGTATTCGTGGCGGGATTATTAGGTTTACTGTTAATTTGCTTCACAATAGAACTCACAATGACCTCATTCTGCTGTTGCAAAGCTTTTCTCAATGAACTATTAAATAAAGATACTGCATCCTCGTTAGACAATTGTTAACTAGTACTAGACTCGCCCAATAAAACTTCTTCAGAATAGTGCACATCTGAACTCCCTGTACTGGTTTTCATTCCTTACAACGTTCTGTACGAGTGGTAGAATAACTTTTAAAGCACGCACCTGCTATTTATATGACCATATCACGTGACATAAAAACCACACAGATCCACCACTCTGTTCACACAGGAAATACCCATAACGACAAAATAATAATTAGTGACTGTGAACAAAAGTGGAGATCTCGTAATGGATCAAAATACGTGTGATTTAAAGTGTCCTCGTCATGACGTAAAATTGTTACCGATATATTGTGAGGATTGTGAATGTCCAGTTTGTAGCAAATGTCTGACAACTTCACACTTAAATCACAACGTATGTGACGCAAATGATTATGTCGAGAAGCAATGGGATGCATTAATGGCCGCCATGAATGGAGAAGGTTCAATGCTTGAAGAACTAAGATCTCACCTAGTAAGTCAACGTAAGATTTTAGAAGAAAGTAAAACTAAACTCTTCGATGAAATCAGTGTTAGAGAAGAGAATATTATTTCTGTGGTGAGAGAAGTTGGCAAACACTACAAAAGCATTGTATCTGATGCGGTTGTGGAATTGAAAAAAAACATTCAAAAGAATGAGAAAACACTGGAAAATATTTCAAACAATCCGAAACTTAAAACAGAATCAGAAATAGACTGTATCAAACTTTTGCAGCGATATGGTGATCTACGGAGGCTTCAAGGGGAAATGAAAAATCACCAAGATCCACTGAACTTTACATTTGTAACAGGGAAAAGTATAAGTAGAATAAGCATAGAAGAGCTATTTGGGAATTTTAATGGGGAGATAAGCCATATTGATGGATCTGATGAAGACAGACAAATTGGAAAAAGTCACCTCTTGATGGCAAAAATGTTCAGAATATACTTGCTTGTAATAGAACAAAAGAGAATGAAGAAAACAAGACGATACTGCATGAGTTTACCTTTACTGTTGTGAAAGACTTCAGAGGAATGGTATTTCTTAAGGAAAATATTTTTGTTCATTTAGGAAACAAAATCGTCATAACTGGTGACGCGACATCTGTTTGTAAAGAACTTAAAAATGTTAGCTGTTTTTGTCAGCTTTCGTCTGGAAATGGAATTCTTGTAGTAACTGACAATGGGACAACACTAAGGGTTTTCTTGAATAACGGAATGTGTATGAAATTCTATCAGACAGAAGAGTCGACTAGAATACTGGCAATAGAGGAAAATATCAGAATAGGTATTTCGATGTTACTTGAATGTGAATACAATGAGAAGTTAAAACATCCAGATGGAGGTTATTTGACCATCGGAAAAAGAAAACTATACATCAGGCAGGTAAACAAAAACGGTGAAACAAAGTTGATTTCAAGCCAAAAAGTGGGCGAACGTGAATGTGCAGATGTCGGCATATTATATCTACTTAAAAACAAAGCAACTCAAATAGTCATTATATGCAAAAAGTCACTACATGTTTATAATCAAGAATTGGCTACTCTGTTTGCATACAATGGAGGTTATCGTGACAATCAATATGTACCCTTTACAACATCATGCGCATGCTCGGATCCTGAAGACAATATTTTGGTGGCTATAAAACCGATAATTCCGTTCATATGTTAGATATTGGTGGCAAGTTTTTAAGGATTATCCTTTGGCCAGAAGAAACCTCACTGACCGCCAATATTTTGTATCTTTCGGTTGTTGATGACAATTGGTTTTGTTGTGTTTAGGTGGAAAAGAAAAACATAAACTATTACTCTTTGATTATGATTACTTAACGACAACCAAACGAATTCAAAGAGCAGAGTCACTTACCGAGCGTGCTATTTCGGGATGACATAACATAACAAACAGAAGAAAAGTAACAATTGTTGCAGCATGTTAAGAACAAATTGAAAAAAAAAAAAACACTCAAGTGTTATAGTAGGTTTGGTTTTTATAATTAACATTTCTATTGCATGTTTATGACCTCCTTACTCTGTACTTTCCAAAAAATACAATGAGGAACTTTAAATTGAACATGAATGGATAAATAAAGTGAAACATAAGTATTTTTAAATGTGTGTTTAGACACATATTCTTTGACAATATATGCAACTGTCTGTACAAACGGTTTTTAAACTTTAGTGAATCTTCTTTGAGTGATTCTACAGTGAGATACTAGTACAAGTATTTATTTTTAGCTCACCTGAGCCGAAGGTTCAAAAGAACTTTTCTGATCATCTTTTGTCCGTTGTTTGTCATCGTTGTCCTCGTCTTCATAAACCTTTAACATTTTATCTTCTTCCCAAGAACTACTGGACCGATTTTAACCAAACTTGATACAAAGTATTCTTTGGTGCAGGGAATCAAATTCGTTCAAATGAAGGGTCACGCCCTCTTACAAGGGAAGATAATATAGTAATATATAGGAAGAAAATCTTTAAACAAGTCTTTAAAATTCTTTTTCTCAAGAACAGGGAAGGTTTATGTTATAGTGATATGGAGGCATCCTCCAGGAGTATAACATCTCCCGGATAAACTTTTCAGACTGAACTGAATTGTGCTTTTTCCTGCATGTAGCAGATATGTTCAGGTGAACGATGTGGCCCACGGGCTTTTTCTTTGTAATTTGTTTTAAATAAAATGTTCCTAATAGCAAAAAACAAAAAAAAAAACCAATAAGTCTTTTTTGATATTTTGAGAGGTTAGTTTTTGAGATACACCCAATTTGTATTGTATCAATGATTTTTTGAGTTTTATTTATATTTTACTTTTCATTTTTAAGTTCATAAAAATAAATTAATAAATAAATATTTAATATACATTACGTAACTCGTTCAGTTTCATCCTATCCCGGTAAAAAATCAATAAGGATTTTCCAATACCTTTTAATGTGTTGTTTCGCGTCCAATTTCTTGTTTGTAATAACTACCTTTTACTGCTT